TCAAATTGCTCATTGAAATTTAGCTGTGTATACCAAATTTCATTCATTTATCACAACGCGATTGAGAGATATTGCAAAAAAATGATTTCCATTCCTCCCTCTTCAATGCGTCCCTGTGCCCTTAGGAAGCATTTCCGGACCCATGTTCATATGAACTTTTTTACTTAGTTTTGATCATAGAATCGGCCTGTTCAGGGTTGGCAGCTAATTATGAGACACCCTGTATAGCGGACTTTGTAACTTCACAGGTTATAAAAATAATTTCTTGTGACATTTACAAAAAATATATAAAGGGAAACTACTCGCCTCCTTTTAATATATAACAATAAGAGTTCACTATGAAACACAAAGTCTCATGCATTAGCAAAATGTGGAATTTCTATCTACTGATTGGACACGTAAAAATTTGCTTTAGCCAATTTCATCAATACATTACCCTTAATTAATAAAAATCCTCAATCAATAAAACCTTAAGTATCCATAGGGTGTAAAGATATACATTTTTACTTATAAACAAATTTTGTCTTCTTTTTTATTTTTTGCTAGATTTATCGCTTCATGCCAGTTTGTTCCTCTTTTCTATAAGTCTTCTGCCACTACTTGGTCCTTGGTCCCATGTTTTTTATGGGTCTGCCTAGTTTCCTTTCCTTTTTTTTTGTTTGCCAAATAATTTTCAGCTATCTCTATTCAAATTCATAACCTATCTTCGGAAATGACAATGACGTTAACCGACAAACTGACCAATGGGAAAATGAATCAACACCCCCACTTTTTGGCTTCAATTCCCTTTCAAAATGCTTTGTATATGTATAGAAGTATGTGGACCACTTTACCTTTCATGATTTTTCTTCCATTAATCTTTTATCTGCCGAAAATGCACTAAACAGATATTGAAAGTACTTGTAGTTAGCTAAAAAAACATGTATTTTTTTTTTCTCGACACGATTATGTATAAATTATTATTAACTTTACGCTTCTACAGGGTGTTCCAAAATTCATGCAATAAAATTTGGTCACAGATTCTTAAGACAAATTTAGGGGACCCGTATTTTTTATTTTTGCCAAGTGGCCCCCTCTTTCGGAGTTACAGCGCCCTGAAGCCCGCCTCTAAGAATAATCTTTTTTTTTATCTTAGAACCCTGTTGTACGAGAATCACTAACTTTGGTACACATGGTTTTGATGACGTGGAATCTGATGGTGCTACGTTTTTTCGCGGGGAACCCCCTTAAGACACTTTTTCGTGGGCCCCCTTGTCTGGAGCCAAAAAAATTTGGTTGCATATTTAAATTTCTTAAAAATTATCAGTCCACTAGAAAGCCATTAAATTTAGAAACTTTTTGTCTCTTTATACTTTTTTCATAAAACGCAATGTTTTCGAGAAAAATGTCAAAATGTAATCGAATGCATATCGTGATTCGCCATTTTCCTCAAAAACATTGGGTTTTACGAAATAAATATCAAAGACAAAACAGTTTCTAAATTCAATGGCTTTCTAGATAATATTAATTTAAAAAAAATATCAAATTTGCGACCAAATTGTTCTGGTTCCAAAGACAAGGGGGCCCACGAAAAAGTGTCTTAAGGGGGTTTCTCGCCAAAAAGCGTAACACTGTGAGACTCCACATGTCACAAAACCCATGTGTACCAAATTTAGTGATTCTCGTACAACATGGTTTTGAGATATAAAAACGACTTCTTAGGGACAGATTTCAGGGGGCTGTAACTCCGAAAGAGGGGGCCAGTTGGCAAAAAGAAAAAATACGGGTTCCTTAAATTTGTCTTAAGAATCTATGACCAAATTTTGTTGCATGAATTTCGGGACACCCTGTATATCTCAAAATCTACACAGTAGAATGCAGTTGTATTTGGCTAAAAAGCAAGGGGTTACAACGTAGATTTTGTCGATTGCATAGAAAATTCCCTGGCCAATAAATAATTGTTTATAGAGTAAAATATTGAAAAATTTTAGAAAAATTCTAAATGGTTATAAAAGTGTAAAAATAGGTATTTTTAGTATTGATCATTATTTATTATTACAAGTATCTCTAAAAAATTATGTGCCCTTTCTAAACCATAATTTAAACCCACGGTACGCGATAAACTTTTTGAAATTTTTGAATTTAATCCTTCAATCGAAAACCACGCTATCGATCGTTGGTAAATTTTTAGGGAAGAATTGAGATGTTTTCCTATTTGTTCACAAAGTTTCAATATTTATAAATATTTACTTATTTTAAAAATTGCTCCAAATATACATGTTTCTCTACTATTTTTCGCCCATTGTTAATACAAAATTTAACTTTTTTGATTTACAGTTGTAACTATAGAAAATTTTTAAATAAACAAAAAATAAAGAATGATTTTTTATTTAGGGCTTACTTTCAATATTACAGGGAAAAATATATCGAAAAACGGGTGGTTTTTCATTCTTTTTGTATGTTTGTTGTTCCCCTGAATTTAGCAATGGTTTTTTGGAGTAGGCAAACTCGGATTTTTATTCTACATAATATTTAGGATTTTTCTGTACAAAATAGATGACTTCAAATACAAACGCCTCGAATGCTCTACCGCCTAGACTAAATACCAGAATGAGATGAGGCCACTCTTAAGTTAAGTGAAGTATAAGCTAGATATGAGTGAAAGGTTAGTATAGATTTAGGGAAGTCTCTGAATTTGGCCCTAAATATAGTGTATTGAATTAAAAAATCATTGATGAGTAAAAATTCTGGAGTTTTTTGAAACTGAATAAAAATTTCTATTTGAATTTTTGGTATATTATGTTTGCTTAATTATATTTCAAGGTCACTATTAAAAAAAGAATTCTAATCTAACTCATTTCTCGAATAATAAGTGAAAGACTTCCTTTTTCCTCAGAATTTCAAGTGGTAATAAAAAGCACTAATCGAATTTGTAGAATACTCATTGGGGTTGAAGTACTGAGTGATAATGATTTCTTACATCTCCTCCACTGGTTGGCATATTTATGTCAACTTAGTAAATTTTTACTTCTATTTAGATAAATCAGTGGCCCAGATTTCATGAGTTTACATTAGAGATTGCACACCAGGCCCGGTGCCCTTTTAGACACCCACCGAGCCCGGTCACCGGACCCGGTAGGTATGAAAACCGCGAAAAGTTAGAATATACTTTTTGTTATATTATTATTATTAAGCCTACTACGTATAACGTAACCAATTTTACATTACATTTTGTTAGTTAAGACTATACAAGTTTGGTTGTTTACAGTTACAGTACAGCCTAGCCTACAGTAGTTATAAGACTTTGCTATTTGCTCAATTAGTAACACTCACTAGTCTTAATAGCTAAAGTTTAAGAAAAACATATTTTGCTTTTAGCAAATAAGAATTTGTTTTGTTTACCAAAGCTACCAAAGTTTATCTATCTATCTAATCTAAGTTGATAAGACAAGTTTAGTACTTTAAGTTGCGTTATTAGTTTCTTATTCTAAATTCTAATACTATGTTTTCAAATAGACACTGTAAGGAGTAAAGAGAAAGACCTGCTTGCTTAAACTTATAAAAATTAATAATTACTAATACTAATGTTACTATTCAGTCCATACCATAAGTAAAAGTAATCAATTCTGTATTAAACCAGTGATTTTGAGACTTTGAGTATGACTGATTATTGTGATTATTCTTGATTTGCTAGTTTGAAATAAATATTAATTTGTAACCTTGAATCATTGTCTTTTTCCATTCATATATAGCAAATTTTCATAAAATACTTTAAAGGTTTCATCGCTAACACATCAACCCGGCCGGGTTGGCGACGAATGCTACCGGGCCCGGCCGGGTTGAGAAACATACCGGGTTACAATCTCTAGTCTACATCAAACATCCTCAGTGTTTTTAAGACAATGTGAATTTTTTTTCTAATCTTAAAAAACGAAACCAACTACGACCCACGTTCATATGAAACATTCTGCTTAGAATAATTTGTTCTATTACCCCATTGTGGACCAAGAAATAAAGGTGAAAAATCATGGAGAACTAGTAAAAATTACTGGGTGTGATTTTATTGTTGGAAAGTCTTGGGAATGATAATACAAGAAGCGTCTCATCAAATGGGTCATGAAAAAAGTATAGCGTCGTTATTTTTTATCAACAAATAGGTAAAAAAATTGCCATTTTTCGTTCTACGTGTTATTCTAAAAAAACTATTACTCTTAGGAAAAAAGTTCAACAGATGATTTGATCTAGAGAAGCTCATCTTTAAAATGAGACTTTATAAGTTAAAATTGCTTTATAAATAAAAATGTTACTGCAAAATTATATGGAAAAAGTGCTTTTTCTTTAATTTTAATAACTTTTTAAATAATTAATAAAATCTTACCAAACTTTCCCAAAATGTGTGTGACTAAAGAAAAAGCACTTTTTCCGTTTAAGTAATTAATAAATTTCAAAATGTTTCCTTTCCTGGTCTATTGAAGGAACACACTTATTTCAGAAACCCTTGTATAGTATAAATAATTCTGTTTTTTCTCCTCAGGCGCAAAAGTGGAATACCAAGATGCTTTGGTGCTTTTTAGTGAAAAGAAAATTTCTTCTGTTCAAAGTATCGTTCCCGCTTTGGAATTAGCTAATGCTCAGAGAAAACCTCTTATTATCATTGCAGAAGATGTTGATGGAGAAGCTCTTACTACTTTAGTAGTTAACAGGTTAGTTAATCAAATGATTATTGGATATACATATTAATATTATTATTATCATTATTATAATTCCATTTTAAGACTTCGAATCGGACTTCAAGTAGCATCTGTAAAAGCTCCCGGATTCGGAGATAATAGAAAAGCTACGTTGACAGATATGGCAATAGCTACAGGTGGTATCGTTTTTGGAGATGACGCCAACATAGTGAAACTTGAGGATGTAAAATTATCAGATTTAGGTCAGATTGGCGAGATAGTGATTACAAAAGATGATACTTTGTTATTAAAAGGCAAAGGCAAAAAAGAAGATATAGATAGACGTGCCGAACAAATTAGAGATCAAATTGAAACTACTACGTCTGAATATGAAAAAGAAAAATTACAAGAACGATTGGCACGTCTTGCTTCTGGTGTTGCAGTATTAAAAGTAGGTGGAAGTAGTGAAGTTGAGGTAAATGAGAAGAAAGATCGTGTAACTGATGCTTTAAATGCTACCCGGGCAGCTGTTGAAGAAGGTATTGTAGCAGGAGGTGGAACTGCTCTTCTAAGGTGTACCAAAAGTTTGGACACTCTTAAACCAGCTAATAAGGATCAAGCTATAGGTATGTATAAAGTTCAATCTTTTTTAATTTTTTTTACAGCATATTTTGCATTTTAATGAGAAATGATTGAAATAATGTTTTTTTCCAAAGTCAGTATTAACAAACCTACTAGATAACCTTAAAATAATTTTTGTGCTATATTTTCCATAGTCAAAGGATTTAAAAAAAGATGGTATATTTTTGTTAGTAACAAACTACGTTTACGAAAAAAATGTCATCAAAAATACAAACATGTACATTCTGTCAAAAAAGTGTCCGGAATTTCTTTTTTGATGGAAAGTTGGTAGCACTACTCCAACACGAAGTTTGAGCGTGATCTGTCAAATAGTTTCCTTACAGTTGTTAATTTTGATAGTCCATCTAAAGAGTGTTCTGTGACTTTTACTAAGTATGGACGTTATTGAACAAAGAGTTTGCCTAAAATTTTGTGCTACCAACGGAAAATGTTGGGAAAGATGTACGGTAATTCAGTTTTATAAAAAAGCATTCAAATATGGTCGAGAAGTGGTCGATGATTTGCCACGTTCTGGTTGTCCTTCAACATCTTCAGCAGAAGAAAACTTTGATAAAGTGAAGGAAATGGTGTTTGCAAACCTTTATTATAGTTCGCGAGAGCTGGCATATGAACTAACCATATCTCACGAATCAGTTTGCACCATTTCAGTTGATGTATTAAGTATGAAACGCTTAGTAGCTTGGCAGTTCCAAAAGAGCTGAAACTTCTTCAAAAAGAGCACCGCAAAGATGTTACTGAAAACATGCTTGAACGAGTTAATTTGGACTCTACGTCTACATTCATGCGACACATAACGGGTGACGAGACACGAGTTTGCCAGTTTGACATGCAAACAAGCCAACAAACCTTGGAATGGCACTTCTCTAATGAGCTGAAACCAAAAAAAACACATCAAAGTCAATCAAAAATCAGTCATATTGACTGTTTTCTTAGACTACCGTAGTATTGTCCACACAGAAGTGCTTCCGGATTGAGAAACAGTCAACAGATAATATCATCTGAGTGTTATGAGGCATTTGAGAGAGAGTATCCACCGCAAAAGACCAGATTTATAGAAGTACAATTCTTGCATTTTGCACCACAATAATGCACTATCATGCAAAGCGATAATTGTGAATGAATTTTTGACCAAAGAAACTCAATGAATGTCATCGAGCAGCCATTGTATTTACTGGATATGGTCCCTGCTGACTTCTTCTTTCCAAAACTCAAATTACCACTTCATGGAACATGTTTCGAGTCGATAGAAGCCATAAAACAAAAATTGGAACGAGTGTGCGAGCACAGAAATAAAATAATAAAAAACATTAGAAATATAAAAAACAATTGAGTGATTTGTTTTACTGTCTTGTCATGATTATTACTATGATTAAGAAAGTCACTCTTTATAAGACGTTAATTAAAAATTAAAAATCTCTATTTTAAACGAAGAAAGAAAATTTCATTCCCTCTTACAGTCCACTAAAACATAAACTATGTTTTCATAAAAACATTGGAAAAAGTGTATTGTTTCAGATGGAGACTATTTTGAAGGAGACATAATAAATTTTGATGATTAATTGATATATCATGTTTTATTGACAAATTCCGGATATTTTTTTGACAGAATGTACATCTTGGTTTTTAATGTTGATCATGAACTTAATAGAAATTTTCAAAAAATAGGCATTGAAATTGTGAAAAGGGCTTTGAAGGTACCATGCATGACAATCGCCAAAAATGCTGGAGTGGATGGTGCCTCTGTAGTTGCAAAAGTAGAACAACAAGAAGGTGATTATGGTTATGATGCCCTTAACAATGAGTACGTCAATATGTTTGAAAGAGGAATTATTGACCCAACTAAGGTAGGTTTTGGGGCTGTTATTTTATTTACTATTTATTTTGCACCAATTAACCCTTTCACTGCTCCAGACGTATATATTCGCTAAAAATTTATAGGGCTCAAACTGCTCCAGACGGATTAATTCGCATGAATAGTTAAATTGGATCAGGCTGCTCAAACCGTATATATTCGCAACCATGCGCATTAGTGACTCGGTTATTGCAATTGGTAAGGCGAATTTTTGCGGGCGAGCTTATACCGATTGTGACAAATATTTTTATGAAAAAAGGCACTGGTAATAATACCAAAATTGTTCATGTTTCTTCCAGTTTCTATTTAGTACATATACTGTATTTTATTCAAAATAAAATCATAAAATTTATCGTAAATCGTAATTTAACACAACATAATGTAAAACTATAAGTGGTCGAACTGCTCCAGACGTATATATTCGCACGCGGTAAACTTTCGCGCATGGCGCGGTAGCTACGTTCAGACGTATTGCGCAGCGAAAGGGTTAAGTATCCATTTGCGTTGAACATCTGCTCAGTAAAGAAAAATTAATTCAATATCCTGATTTATAGATGTTCAGGTATTATGTTCATCATAATAAGTAAAAAAAAACGAATGAAGTAAAATATATAATTTCCTCAATATGCAAATCCTAATTTTCTGTTATGGTCTTTTTTTAGGTGCCTATTTTTAAATAATTATATTTTATTTAAAATTTAATAAGACGAGTTATTTTACATCTCATTTATTGCGATTTTTTTTTAATTAATTTTTCAAGAAAATTAGTAAATTGGTCGAGCAAAACTGCAGATTGCCAATTTTTTTTCAACATTAATTGAGTAAAGTAAAATATTGCTCTTGGTTTAAAATTCCCAGAGAGAAGTGGTTGTAGTCTTTTTAGGCCAATCAATAGAGCATTAAATCAGTGATTTCGTGACAAAAGTACTAGTAGCAAACGGACTGTGCCATCATATAAAAGACAGTCTGTAGATATATGCATATGTTTCCTATTCCAATTTACCATTATTAAATTTTTTATAACCATTTTATGCAAAAAACGCATTTTTTTTAGTTTTTTGCTTATAAAACTTAAACTAACGAAGCAATTTGAATGCTATAAATAGACCATTTATAGAGAATCGAAATACGAATAAAACGAGAGGTCGATCGATCCGATCGGATAATTAGAAACCGAGAAAAATCGGAAAATTTAGCGTTTTTTAAAAAATTCATTACGCCGCCATTTTTTAAATTGTAGAGCTGACCCTGTGCACAAAAGTAGTAAATTATATGTACTTTAAGTGTGCACAAAACGGGTGCTGTCAGTTGAAATTGGGATGAAATGCTGCAGAAGCCACTCATATGTTGGGTGAAGTGGAAAGTCGGAATATCATTTTGCATAATTCTGTACAAAACTTAAATAAAACCTGAAAAGTGATGCTCTGTGTTTGATGAAATTATGGTGTTAAGTATTTTGAACTGATACCTCGATGTAGAACAATAAATGCTAAACTGCAATGCGAGAACTAGGTCAGATGTATGAAATTTTATATGAATATATCCACAATAGTCAATAGTAATCAGGTACCATTCCAACAGGTAACATTCAATCACATACAAGAGCATGTCTGAAACTATAAGAACTTGATTCTCTAATTATTACTATCAGACTATCACCTATTTAGGTTAATGGCACACTTTTTCTAGACATTAATTCATCAATTATACAGAGGTAGAGGCTGGGTGTTGCAAGTTTTTCGCCTCTAAGCCACAGGAACAGGAAATCTCGCAATGGCAGAGGTAGTTGCTGTATTTCTTATTTGACAAAATTAAAATTGATTATCAAAAAACAAAAACTTTAATATTTGAGGTAATACTAATTTTTTTAATTTAGTCGGACGCCATTATAAAGTTGTCTATAACTTTTTCCATTTGATCAATTTTTTTCCAAGTTTGCAAGATGCCAATACATGTATTACCAAAATGGCCCACATAGTTAAATTAAACATACATAATGTTATTTCATGTTGATTTCATATCCTGATTTAAACATTTTCAACTGAAATTGCATGAAATTAATTTCCTATATTCTTCTTGTACCATTTTTATCCTATATGGATAATTTTTATTAAAATACATTCAATGAATTGAATCTGATTAGTTACAAATTGCTGTATTATATTTTTAGGTTGTTAGGACAGCTATTGTTGATGCCTCAGGAGTTGCATCCCTCTTGACGACTGCTGAAGCGGTAATAACAGAAATTCCAAAGGAAGAACCTCCAATTCCAACTGGTGGTATGGGCGGAATGGGCGGAATGGGAGGAATGGGTGGTATGATGTAATATCTCCATTAAAATATGCCAAATGCATACTAGAAGAGACTTAATGGTGAATGGACAGCTTCTAGTGTGATTTTTTAGACTGTCTGTCAAAAAGTTCCATTATTCTATTTGGCAGAAGAACGAATATGTTAAAAGTTTTTGTTACTTTTGCACAGGACAAGTTTCGTGTTGATTTTTTTATATGTGACACGAAGTGAGTGTATGCGAAATTGAGTGTGTATTTGAATATGTATGATTAAAAATGATTTTCTATAGATTTGTCACAAAGTGTCAACCATTTTTTTAAATAGGAAATCATTATTAATCGTGAACTGATCTGCATTTAATTTTCTTAAATCGAAATGTGTATGTAGTTTTTTAAAAGACTCTGTAAATGTATATTGTTATAAATATATTCTCTTTTTTCTAATGTATATTTTTTAATATTTCAAAATTTAAAAAAGACAGACATCCATATTAACCGCTAAATATGTTTATCCAAGTCAATAGAGGTAAAAGCGTTTACCCCAAAAAACTCGGGTTTCTATTTTTTCAATGAAATTTTTTGTGCAACATTGACCGCTGTGATGGTTAATAAAAGACGATCTGCTTTCAACTGCTTTTATTTTTAGAAATCCCCTTTTAGGTCAGTTCTGTAGTCGAGCGGTATCAATAAAAACTATTGTAGATAAGTCAATAAAAACATAAAGAGTTCATACACTACATGACCATGACATCCCCCCTTTTATACGGTATTACAAGTTACATAAATTTAAATTATATTTTACAATAATAATCTTACACTAAACCTGAAAATTTATAATATAAAAATTTATACATATATACATTTTTCTATCCTAACTGTAACCTTTCTGGTTGANTTAGATTTGGTCTACATAATTGTAATACACAATTATTATTATAAAGTGGTATAATATAAACAAAATTGTTTCTTTTTTAAGAAAATCATCTTTACATTTTACGTTTATAGCGTATAAATTATTAATACATTTTATATTTTCATTTGCAATGAATATGCAATGCATTTATATGTTTGCAATGCAATGCAATGTATATGTTTGATTCATTCCTGAAAACATTAGTTATTTTGTCTGAAAGATTTTGTATATAAAACACAGAATCAAAATGAAGATTGTTTACTGTTCCATCATTATTTCATTATTATCATGATTAAAATATGAAATATAAAAAATCGGTCATTGCGTTTAAAAACCATGTTTGATGCGGCTTCGGAAACACCCCGTATACTTCATAACTATTTTTAAAATGTCCCCCTTAAGGCGCCTAAAAATTATTTTCTATCCGTATAGCATAGGAGTATCTAATATTATCACTATTGGCCCGCCCTGTCTGTATGAATATCCCTAGTAAAAGAAAAAAACTTTAAATATGCAGGTATTGAATGTTGCGAACAATAATTAAAAAAGTAAATGGTTTTTAACATTTTATTTAAAAAAAAATTCAATATTCTTATTTAACTAACTAGGAAATGTTAACATATCATTAATAAAATAATATATTTTAAAATATCAAATGCAACTGTGATCGGATTAATTATTATTCACCCTATTGAATACAACAGTTTTTGGTGCCACGGTGTATATCTCCAAACAACACTCCCAGTCCGAAACATACCTAATTATCTGTGGTGGAGCGCGAGAGAATGAGAGCGACCCAACTAGTGGGGACTTTAAGTTGCCCTTCATTGTACCACGTTAGAGGCCTAGGCATACAAGGCCATAGTACTCACGTTATTGCGGCGGTGTACTCAAAATTAGAAGTAGTCCTAGCTTCTCAAGGCTCTATCGAGAAACCTAGCATTTAGTAGATTTAGTGTATCTACCAGAACTTCAGAGCAAAGCTCGCTCTGATATTGTCGGACGGGGTAAGATGTATCCCTCCGACGCGACATCCAGTGCTACGAGGAATTGTGTCCTCGAAGAAACACAACAAATTAGATCATGAAGGGATGATCAAGACTGAGCTGGACGAGACCTCGTCACCTCCATACGGAGAGGCCAGTGGTTCCACGGACTGCCCTCACACCCGGAGGAGAAGTACTTTGGAGGTAACTAGGAAGTATATTAGCAAATTAGATAAAATTAGGAGCGAGGTAATTAGGCTAATAGGCGAATTTCGTAATAAAGCAGGTATTTCGGAGGATGTCGAGAAAATAGATGCAATCATTGCAGCAACGCAGAAGTACATAGTAGCGATTGATGATATTTTAAAACGTAGGTTAGACAGTTTAGATGTAATTAGGGGTAGTAGTAGTTTAGGAGAAGAAATAGATTGTAAATCTATGTTAAGGCAGTTAGACGTCAAAATTACTGAGAAATTTAAGAACAGCTGTAGCTATAATTCCAGTATTGACGAATACTAGAGATTCGGTTTTACAGTTAACAGACGCAATAGAAATATATGATAGTTTACTCGGTAATGAGAGCAAAAAGTTGTTGACAAAGTATGTTCTTAAAACAAGCTTGCCAGCCAGCGCTAAATTAAAGCTACAAAATGATTACCCTTCGAACGAGGCTCTTGTGGTGGACATAAAAGCTAGATTATTGACTAAGAAGTCGGCAGCTGCTCTGTCATTGCAACTGTGTAATGCCAAGCAAAATCGTAAAACAATTGAAGAATATGGTAAAACCATAGAAAAGTTAATGTCAAATTTAACCACTGCTCAGGCCAATAACAATGATGGATCAGTTACTGTCTTGGCGGGAGCAAACGAGAAAATAGCTATTAATACTTTTGTCAACGGTCTCTGTTAGTGACATAAGATTAATAGTAAAAGCTAGGGATTACGATAAGTTAAAAGATGCCATAAGCGCTGCGCAAGATGAAGAGATTGCTAACAGTAGCAGTGCATCACATATTTTCCAATTTAAAAGTAGACGTAGTCAATATAGAAGTAACCACAGAGGTGCGAGAGGTAGAATTTGACAGGGTAGTAACTTTAACCGAAATAGTATAAGCGACCGAAGGACGCAATTGTCTGGTCCGCATAATCGAGGTTATAATCGAGTTCATAGGGGTCGTAGAAACTACCGCGGAGTTGAGACGAGAGGTGGCTATAACTTGCAAAATAGCAATAGCGACGATACCAGCCAGTCACATGGTAATTCTGTCAGACAATCTGCGGGAAAATTTTTTCGTCCTCACCCTCCCTCCGTAAGATAGACGAAACAGTAGTTTTAAATTTAAATTTTCAGTTTCGTTTTTCAATCAGACTTTTGAAGACAAAGTTCATCTCTATTCCAACTGCGATAATTACACTATAATACCGGCCAGGTGTGAAATAGTCAAATACTTTTCTATAGACAGTGATAATTAATGCGTTGTGCTACCGGAGGAAATTTGTGAAGGTGTTTACTCGGCAGGTATTATCGCGCGACCGCATAATAATAAAATTCCAATTAGAATATTAAATATTGCTGATAGGGAAATTAGGTTAAAGAATTTTAAGCCTAGGACAGAAGAAGTATCAAAGTTTGACTGTTTCGAATTCTCAGAAACGTTAATGTTGGTAGATAGAGTAGAAAAATTGTTAGATTTAATAAATTTGGAATCGTTGAGTAAAGAAGAAAGAGATTCAGTAGAAAAAATTTGTGCAAAATTCGCTGATCTTTTTCATTTAGAAGGCGATCCAGCTACCGTTACTAATAAAATATGCGACTGAAAAAGGATGCCACACCAAATTATATAAAACCGTACAGAATTCCACATTCTCAAAAGACAGAAATTGATAAACAAGTATCTAAAATGCTGAAAGATGGAATAATCGAACCGGCCGTGTCGCAATTTTCAGCACCATTATTGATCGTTCCAAAACGTGCGGATAGGGACGGTAACAAGAAATGGCGAGTGGTTGTAGACTATAGGCAATTAATTAAACAAATTGAAGACGACAAATTCCCACTACCTTGCATAGAGGAAATTTTGGATGCGTTATCGGGTGCAATTTATTTTTCACATTTAGATTTATTTCAAGGTTACTATCAAGTAGAACTTGATGAGTCATCTCGACCTCGTTCAGCTTTTACGACAAATAAAGGACAGTTTCAAATGACTAGACTTTCAATGGGTTTTAAAATAAGTCCCAGTGCATTTTCACGAGCTATGATAATGGCTATGTCTGGGTTAAATTACGATATATGTTTCATTTATCTAGATGATTTAATAGTCATTGGCAATACATTTGAAAATCATAATAAAAATTTGATAAAAATACTACATCGTCTTAGGAAAACAAATTTAAAATTAAATCCGTCTAAATGCGAATTTCTCAAAAAGGAATTATTATATTTAGGGCATGTTATCTCGGCAAAAGGAGTATTACCAGATTTTCAAAAAATAGAAGCGATGCAGCACTATCCCACACCTAAAGACGCGAGCGAGATGAAAAGATTCGTAGTATTTGCGAATTTTTATAGGAAATTCATAAAAAACTGCGGAGATAGCTGNACATTTATCACTGGTTTAACATTTTCTTCTAATTCTATTTTATATTCACCATTTATACAACCAATACCAGTAAAAATATTCTTAAATTTATTAATTAATTTATCATAATTGCCATCATTTACCATTTCATTTCCAATAGATTCTACTAATCTAACTAAATTTAATTTTTCGCAATCTACTCTACCTAATATTGGTCTCGCATCTTTTTTGTCTACTACATAAAATAATAAATTTTGAATACTTTCTTTATTATTTATTTACATTTTAAATTACATTTACCTAACATTTTTATTTTACTACCTGTATAAGTTGTGATCCTTGACTTGTCTTGTATCAAATTATTTTTTGAAATGTCAAGACTGGTCAAATATCTAGAAGGTATTAAGTTGACTTGTGCTCCTGGATCCAATTTGAAGTCGACTTTTGTTCCATTATGCACCTCAATCGTGGCTTCCCAGTCTTTGTTGTTGGCACTTACACAATCTATAAAAAATTCTTCATCTTCTATGTTGATTTCATTCACTGATTTGCACATTTTTGCGAAATGATTTGATTTTTGACATTTTAAACATATTTTTCCAAATGCAGGGCACTGATTTTTTTCGTGGATCACACCGCACCTGAAACACTTAAATTTCGTTGATTGTTTACACTCCCGCACATTTCGTNTGTTATCTCGGCAAAAGGAGTATTACCAGATTTTCAAAAAATAGAAGCGATGCAGCACTATCCCACACCTAAAGACGCGAGCGAGGTGAAAAGATTCGTAGCATTTGCGAATTTTTATAGGAAATTTATAAAAAAAACTTTGCGGAGAGGTGTAACGTTTAATTGGACAGAAGAATGTAAATTTGCTTTCGAGAAATTAAAGGAATCCTTATTAAAGCCTCCTATTCTAGAATATCCTGATTTTTCTGAAAGTAACAGATTTATTTTAAGGAC